ACTACTAGTCATTGAGCTGTGAGTAATTTGCTTTTGAGAAGTAAATAGAACCTCACCAGTGGAGAACCCAGGGGTGTGGCCAGTCGTTCTTTTCCCAGGCTCCGCCCTCTCCACCCCCCATATGACCTTAACCTTCCATAGCTGGAGAGCCGCCAAGTCCAGCCTAAACAATACTCTCGATTTCATTGGCTCTTTTGCTTGCAGCCACTGCCTCCCCTAAGTGATTACGCTCTTCCAGCTAGATCTCTGGTCTGAGAGAAAGAACTGGGGTCAGGATTTTCCAAGCATTGAAAAGCTAAAGAAATAAATACTCACGTTCCTGGACTCTCAAAGGAACAATGTCGGGCTCCTGGGATTGGGAGGGGAGGTGGGTATCTTCAAATTCGAAGGCACAGACCAAAAGGATGCTTTTGGGAAAAGTCCAGGGCCTGATTGGTGCCATCCTGATCAGTGTGAGGATGCATGTGATGTCACCCAGCTTCCTTGGAAACTACTGGTGAATGTCCTTTTATCCACAGCAAAAAGAAGTAACGTTCTGGCAAGGGCACAGCTGCCTGGCATCATGGGCATTAAGGTGGCAGTAGCAGAACTTAGGGGTCAGTTTGGTCACTTTTGCCCCATAATGATGTGGCCACAGAGCCAACACCTCAGGTCAAGGTCAGTTAATTCCTTGTAATTGGGACAGTGCACAGTTCAGAGTCGGTAACTGAGCTAATAATTGGTGTACTGAGCTGCCTGTCTACCCAGGTGAGAGCAAGGCAGTGGCAGGTGCAGAGAAAGTCGTCGTCTGGGAGCTCCATGGAGCACTGCCAAACTAAACTTCCCTACCCCCACCTTCAGTGGGGAAATGCCCCGTCTGTGTTTCTAACAGCCCTCCATCACTGAGCACTTACTTTATGCCAAGCACTGTAAATCCTGTGAGATGGATGTTGTTATCTGCGTGACGGCGAGGATTGTCCTCCGTGTTGTAGCCTCACTTTTGACACACAGCACTCCAACATTGGAATGAATCAAATGTGAGAGGAATTTGGTGGAGGAAAGAGTAGGTGAGAGCTTTTAATATTTAGGGTGGGATTCTTGTCACGAATACTTAAACATAGTTGGGAAAAGACAGAAGCAAGGGGTAAACCTGGCAAAGATTAGAATAGTGTGGAGGGATGGAAAGAACCAGCTTGAGAGGGTGGGAAAAGAAGGGGAGGAAGGGGAAACCGATCGCAATGATCGACAAATTACTGGGGGGGGCGGGCAACAAACGTGGGTAAAGGGAGGCAGCGGTCGGTGTAAGATGAAAATAAGAATTTGTAATTTATTCACGAGGGTGGGGGAAGGAGAGAAAAAAGAACTGATACCAAGGGCTCAAGTAGAATGAAAATGTTTAGAAAATGATGGCAACAAATGTACAAATGTGCTTAACACAATGGATGCATGTGTGTATTGTGTTAAGAGCTATATGAGCCCCCAATAAAATGATTTAAAAAAAACACAACAGCTTGGGAGACTGGAGACCTGACTTCAAGTCTCAGCTGTGAGACCTCAGGCCAATGACTTCTCTCTTTGAGTTTT